CCCCCAGCATTCCATGCCCTGTCCGGAGCCATCGAGCAAAGGGCCGGGCGCGGCACCTGCCTCCCCGGCCCCCTCGGACCTCCAAGGCGAGGAGCAGGGCGAGGAGGCAACCCGGGGGAGAGCTCCGGAGAAAGCGTCCGCCAAAAGTGTGCAGCCTGCTGGGAGCCTGCGCCTGGGCGGCAAAATCCCAATGGTGGTTCCCTCCTATGAAGGGCAGCTGGTGGCAGACCAAGAAGAGCTGCTGAGGGAGATAGAGGAGCTGCGCTCAGAAAACGATTACCTCAAGGTAAATGGCGGGAGGCAGGAGGGAGAGGGAAGACTGGGCCTGAAAGGGGGGACCTGAAGGGCCGCGGACGTTGAGAGAAGGAACACCATTTGCTGAGACAAGGGCAGCTAAAAAAAAAAATAGTAATGAAGGAACTCCCTAAGCCAGTTGTTCAAGTCATACAATTGTATTTAGGCACCAGAAACCCCAGTATTGCCCCCTTGCTCATAGGATACTGCTCTTCCTTGTTTTCAGCTCAACAGTCTTGTGCCACTCCTTTGCCTTCTGGAAAATAATGCTGAAGCCCCTACAGAGCCATGATTTATAGGCTGTTGCATCACTCTTCGCCCATGCTTTCACCATATTTATTCTACAGAGGAAAGAAGTTTTGAAGCTGGTGATTCCAGAATGTCTTCTGTTGCAGATATTGTGTTTATTTATTTATAAATTTAGATCCTGTCTTTCATCCAGGAGCTCAAGGTGGTATACATAGAGCTCCTTCTTTCTGTTTTTCCAACAACACCCCTGCAAGGTAAGTTGAGTGAGAATGACTGGCCCAAATCTCCCATTGTGCTTTTGTGGCTGAGGTGGATTAGAACCTAGGTTTCTCTGCTACTAGTCTGACACCTTAATTAATAACCATCCTAACTCATCATTTTATTTGATGCAACTGAAATTGGGTCACATCAAACTTTTTAACATACAGACATGCGAACTCTTTAAAGCAGCTTAAATATGTTGCATTCTCTAACAGGTTTGCATTTCCCAACCTGGTGCATTCTAGAGTTGTTGAATTTCAAAATAGCTGAAAATTATTGGAATTGAAATCTGACACATCTGGAGGTATCAGTTTGGAGAAATCTTGTTTAAAATCATGCAGGTGGATAGAGTTAGACTTGGAATTCCTTTATGAAGCATTTTAATTCCATAAAAGAAACATAATGTAGATAGAGTTTGAAGAATGAGAGTTGTTGAAGAATATATTTTTGTGGGCAAAGGAGAATGGAAGGAAGATGAGCTGTCATTCCCTCTCAGTGATAAAAGACTCTTTTCTGTGTTTATGTAAGTGACTGAAGTATCTTATACTGGAAGTGAGTTATCAGTTATGCCAATATGAAGAAAACCCTTATTGGTTGTTTTAAATGGAAGTTGTATATCCAAACATTTCTTGTGTTGTGTTGCACTTGTACCGTAATACAATTTGCCCACCAGTACACATGTTTATAAGTAAGGCCTGTTGACTTCAGTGCAACCTGCTTCCAAATGAAAGTGAGAGCTGCATGTAATTGCACAAGTGTTTTTAATTGTTAAATAATTGATTAAAACTTCAGTAAGAAATATATTAGTATAAGTGTTGGACATCTTTTGCCAGGAGATTCATTGTAGTAGCATAATAGAAATGACAGTTAAAGGCAATACTATACTAATCTGACTTAAATGGATTGGTTTGCAATGTCAGCATTCTTAAATTAGAAATTAGATTGAGTATGATAGATACATTTTTCATATCTATTTTAGTACTTGATTGTTTTAGGGTTAATATATCTTCTTTCTCGGAGGTAATTTTCTCTTTGCCTTTTAAAAAGGAAACTATAATAATTGATTATAATATAAACTATAAAGTCAAAAACAATCAGAAAAGTTGATTATGAAGTTACAACAGCTGGTTTTGATATTCTGTATATATCATAAAGTATTGTTTGTGAAAGAAATGACAGCTGAGAGATCACACATAACTGAAAGCCTTTCTGAATGTGGAATTGTCAACATTTTTTATATTATGCTGTATAACAGCTGCTTGGCAGCAAATAGTAGAGGCTTTTCCTGCTATGGAAATTAAATGATAGGAAATCTTCTTCAGCTAAACTTCTGCCTGCTAGGCAGCTGATAAAGAGACAGAAATTCTAACGGAAAGAGAGTGGTAATCCTGCCTCAGTGTATGTTGTTTTTTGCAAGGCTTTTTTCAATGCCTGCAGTATGATATCCTAACCAGAAATAATAGGATGAGAAATGCAGTACCTCGTGCAGCCTTTTATAGAGGGCTAAATATGTGCTCTGGATCTGGAGGCTAGGAAGGCAAAGTCCCCAGTTAAAAAAGGAGAACAAAAACAGTTAAGTTTATATGTACATATGTAACTGTCTCAGTGTGCTTGTGTAGACTGGGTATAGTTTGTACATTAAAAAAAAAAAAATGGCTCTTGGCTACTGAGGAGCCTCCAAATAAATAAATAAATGGATGAAATAATGTGAGCATATGGGATAGAGGCCTGTATCACAAGCTGATCACCACATCACAAATAACAGAAGTAAGAACTGCTCAAGCTGTAAAAAAAATAACCCAAGTGAAATTACAGGTAATCCTCACTTAACGACTGTTCGTTTAACGCTGGTTCGAAGTTACGATGGTCTTGGGAAAAGTGCTTTATGACCTATACTCACACTTACAACCATTGCAAACAGTCGCATCCCCCCCGCAGTCATGTGATTGCAATTTGCAACCTTTTTTACAATTGTCGTTAAGTGAATCACGTCATTAAGTGAATTCCGGCAAAAAAAGTCTATTGGGGAAGCTGGATTCGCTTAATGGCCACATGATTTGCTTAATAACCATTATAAAAATGGTAGTAAAATAGGGTCTGGACAGATGGTGACTTGCTTAATGACCGCCCCACTTAATGACCAATTTTCTGGTCCCTATTGTAGTCATTAAGCAAGGACTACCTGTATGAAGCATTTTTCTTCACAGAAAAAATACTGTAGTTTGAGTCCTGGGGTAGTTTTTTTTAAAAAGTGTTGTTAAAGGTGAAGGATATGCACCACAATGAGAGACATAACAATTATTGAACAAAAATTGATTGGTAAGATGACCCAGATGGGAAGATCTTTACAAATGGAACAAATTAGTTAAAGTACTGAATTAAGAACTCCAGAATTAAGGAATATGGCAAGCGTATATGGCTTTGTTTAAATGTAGTTGTAAACTATATATTATATAGATGAGTCTATGACTTGGTTATGCATCATACTAAACCAGGACTAGGTAACCAATCAGCAACATAGGTATATTTGGGGGAGGGAGGGAGGTATGAATTGTGTCTTATGACACAAACTCTACTCCTTATTTATCTGCAGCATAGTGATGTGAGTAGAAAATGGCAGAGCTTGTCTTCATGGCACATTTTTCATCACTGTGGCTAGGAATGAACATGTAGACAAGTCCCCCTTCTTCAGCCTTTGGAGACCATTGTAAGATGTTATCAAAATCACTGTTTTCATAGCACAATTTTGCATTTTAAAAATGAGCACAAAAAATAAACTTATGTGGACCTAACATGCATACTCACTAATCAAAACATGCCCTTCGAAGAGGACAAAATTCTGTCTCCCTTGGCCATACAGAGTGAAAAAATTATTTTGCTGCCCCTACCTTCAGAAAGATTGTTTGCCCCTGAACTAAGTCATGTTTTGTTGAATAAGCAACAGTTGGCTGGTTTCAGATACAGTATATAAAGCTAAACCATAAATTATGGTTTATAAACCACAGCAGATGATTTCATGCATTGTACTAAGCCAAAACTAAAGAAACTACATAAAGATTAAGTGCAATATGTGAAACCATTCTTATGACCTCTGGGCTCATGTATTATGTTATCTTCCTTAACAGGCACTAGGAGATTGGAAGGCTTTTGTTATGGCTTTTTTTTTTTTTTCAATCTATAGTTTCATCTTCACTAAACCAAGCCTCAGTTAATCTTAAATGGTTAATTAATAATTAATTAATAAAAACCAACTTAAGTTATGGATTAGGAAACTGAATTGTATTTAACCATAATTAAAAATAACTGTGGTGTAATGTTTGGACATAATGCCATTTTAAAGTGAAAGTAAAAGAAGAAAAGAATACTTCTGAATTAGTCTTTCAGATTATTCTGCTGCTGGCAGTGATAGAAATGATATCTGGATTTGTAGCTTACACAAACTTATTCATATAACAAGTTAAATATTACTATTATATTCAAGTGAATCCACTGTCTTCCATGTTATGTGCTTGAAAGTCGTCTAGTTGCAGGAAGTCTCATTCTGCTTTTAACTAGGTTAGATAAACAACAGGAGTTTTAATCTTAATAGGGTGTGGGCACACATTTCCTCTTATTGTAATAAATTAGTTGTCATTACCTTCTTATTGGAGAACAAGAAAATTCCATATACTGGTTCAGCAGATACAATTATAGATAATTAGTGGATTCTTTCCAAAGAGAGTGGGATCTGGTGGAGGGCTAGGAAGATGTGAACACTATGACAAGAATGTTGCTGTTCAGAATTTGGGTATTGAATATGATGACCAGAGAAGGGGAGGGGGAGAGGTGGAATAGCAATGCCAGTGTCATTTGTAACCACTTGAAGTGAAATGGAATACAATCCTATCTGGTTCTAGCTCACTCTCACCATTGCTTAAATGAAAATGAAAATACAGCACAATATCTTAATTCAGTTAACCTGCTATAGAGTATTTAGAATTGTGGCTAATCTAGCTGTGATATAAAGAAATAAACAATACAGTTGGGGAGTGTAAACTTCCTTTTTTTAACCATAGCATAAGGACAAAACATGCTGACTTGTTTTTATCTAGTTAAAATACAATTTCTCTATTCCTCAGTTTGAAGTGGAAAACATACCATTGGTACTACTCTGTCTTATTTGCATATTTGTTCCATAACAAAATCCTCAGCAGGATCTCAGAAGCTAAGCAGGGCTTGACCTGGTTAATACTTGGATGAAAAACCATGAGGTAATCCCAGGGCTGAACGCTAAACAGGGAAGTTGAAACCATTTCTATATTGCTATCAAGAAAACCTGTGGATCTTGTTCATCAAATCTCAAAGTGTTGAGCCTGACTTGAGGGAGACTTTACTTCTGTAACATAACTCATTAGTCATTTATTAAGAAGGGCCATAAGTGCAAGAACCAATGATAACAGTGATAAAAATATTATAAGAAAGATATTGCTCATTTCTCTTAAT